ATTGGTGGCATTCTGCAGCCCATCAACAAACAGCTTGTAGACAAGATTGGAGAGCTTGTTGGCGAAGGTGTGAAAGCTGTGGACAAAATGAAAAGACATCTTAGGCAATTCGTAAAAACTGAACTATTTCCAGGGCAATCTCCACCAGCATCAACAAACAGGCGCTATTATCCAACAGATGTGGACATCAGGAACCACATGTATCAGGCATCAGTAAAAAAAATCCTGTCCAAATCTGATCAGGAAAACCTTGAAAAGAAAATTGAAAATTGGTGTCAGAAGAACCCACAAGACTCTTTCTATTTAGACCCTGTGCCCTATCAGCCTCATCAACAGCTTCTGAAACCATGAACAATGAGGAAACAGATCAAAATTGTGTGCGAGATGATCTTTTGTTTGCTCATCAAACAGCCTGGCAAAAGCAACTCATGATCCGTTACGGAAATGAGATCACCCTGCTTGATGCAACCTACAAGACAATGAGATATGAGCTCCCTCTATTTTTCCTAGTGGTAAAGACAAATGTAAATTACATAGTTGTGGGGTCTTTCATAATTCAACGGGAAGCTACAGCCTCCATACAGGAAGCACTAGGAATCTTCCATGATTGGAATGCCAGCTGGAAGCCCCAATTTTTCATGACTGACTTTTGTCATGAAGAGATCCATGCAATTGAGAACACATTCACAGGTACGGATGAATCAACATCGGGCCAATATTCTCAAAGTGTGAAACTAAATGTAAATAAAGACTTGTACATTCAAGCAGGGTGCAAAGAAAATCATTTTTACAGCTTGCCATTCAAGTATTCAAGTACATGTAGGCAAACAAGATTTTGAAGGAATAAGTAACAATTTCTATAAAATTGTAAGTTAACCTTGATCCTCCCTAGTGACTGGAAAACCAGGCCAAATTAAATATGACTTTAGCTATTCAGTTACAAATCTGGATACTTCCTAGAGGGCGAAACCTTAAAGTCAAGCTTAGGTTGATGCCATACGAGGTATCAGTATATCCATCATAGTGCTTTATCTTCTGTACGTAAGACTTTACCATAGTAGCAACTGACAAGGAACGCTATAGTTCCAAAACTGCAGTCTTGCTTAACAATTCATAACAGTCGCATGGACGACTGTTAAGCAAAAACTTAAGTAAATACCTACGAAGGAACAACAAGACATCGCGCTCCAGTTCAAAGACTCACTTATGTTAAGAAAAACTAAATGAACTGTGTGAGCGCTAAGAGAATTATCTTGACTGACGCACAATATATTTCTCCAAACTTGGTGTAGCTTAGTTTAAGCTACAGTCTGAAGATCGCACTATCCGTGGAAATTCAAAATCCTGCAAACCACACTATAGAGCTGGGCCCAGAGTCATACTGATATGGCAGGAAATAATCACATTCACGGACAAAGAAACTTGCATGCATGCATGTAGTTAATCAGACACAGTCATTTCGGAGAAATCCAAAAAAACTAAAATCTTTATTCAGCCGTAATAAACAGAGGTCAAAGGATATAAAACACTTTACAACTGCATGTGAAATCAAATCCTATCAGGGACACCTACAGAAGCATAAACCACAGGAAATGATTACTCAGTATGCATGTAACAAACTTATTTCATGACCTCTTAATATAAGACTTAGTGCGGCAAAAACAAGATTTACTCAGTCAAAGTTTAGAATGCTACAAGTCATGCACTGTGTAGTGCTAGTAACCTTCGCGAGAGAGACAAAAAGAAAGAGAACCACTGTTCAAGCAGACTCTCAAGGTCACGTTTCACATTATCACGAGCTTCTGAGTCGTGTTTAGCCTGTCAACGCTTATAACTTACCTTTTCGAAAATTTCAGCAAGAAAAAAGGCTCCCGAAAATTCTAGATGACCTTTTTAGGGTAAAAATCAGTTAAAAATTGGCAATTATACCATTTTTTAGATGTTAGAAAATCCTAGGAGAGGCAGGGAAGCAAGGAGTTTTACAACAAATGTTCCGAAAATTCTAGATCTCAAATCGTCTTCTGAACAGATGTTTTCCAAAAATTGTCGTTGGGTGCCCCTGACTAAACTTAATACCGAAATAAATGCAGTCAGTACCCGGGGGGGGGTACTCCCTTACAAGAGGCTAATGGGGATGTGCCGCTGGATGGGGTCGCATTTTCACGACTAGAGTGAGTATAATGGGGTCGCAAATTTTCGGATTTTGAGGGGAAGTAGGGATTCAAAATGGGAAGATTCTGGTTAAAAAAATCAGAGAGTTTTTGTTTATTAAATTTAACTATAAGCTCGCATTGACTGCATTACATCCTGCTGCTTGAGACCACATTAATAAGGTAGATGCATAAATAGAAAGCGACTAAGTTGGGATCGCGAAAATTACATTTTCCAAAAAGTGACTAAGATGGGGTCTATAATTGGCCAAAAAATAGACTATAATGGGGTAGGGGCTCTGAGGGGCCAGCGGCACATACCCAGCAAACATTAACCCAAGTACCCCCGGGAGTCAGTACTTGAAGTGTAAGTTTCTTATTACATGTAGCTCCAAATAAATGAAAAATTAACAGAATCTGCAGTAATTGGGCGTGTAATGCCATAGACTATTTCAATGAAAACTCTGTAACGACACAATGATAGTGAGGTTTGTTAATTTCAACATTTGTCACGTCAGTTTGATAGATGGAACCTTGTCCATCCACCAAAATGACGTCGCTTGAGAATTAAGCTGATAAACCAGAAATATCTTTTTCTATATAGAATACTCTCCATATGAAACGCTTTTACAAGTGAGCTCGATAGAAAGTAATTCAAGCTTAAGTCTTTCCTTTCCTGAACGTAAACTATAAATGTCAATAGTAGCTTTCGCATCATACCTTCTCGGGCCTACCTTCTCTTAAGATTTGCCTTTTAACCAAACAACACAAGGTAAATCGGTTAGGTAAATCCTGGCAAACATAATCTCACTTCATTCGCTAGTTTGAGTGGTATACTGACAAGCATATATCAGTCTAGACCAGACATGCACAGTGGCCGCCATATTTGTTTTTACGATAAGAAGCCGACGCGTAAACCGAAGATGTTCACCGGAGATCAGATGACGTCACGTCAGTTTGGCGGATGGAAACAAGTGACGACCTAAAAAAATGATGTAAAAAAATTGTGTCGATTATTAAAGCAATATATACAGAGCATGACATGGGCATGGTACAACTTTGTACATGCGACTTTTTACACACACTCACTCACTAGGTTCTTCCTTTAAAAATTAACCGCTAGGTATCCAGTTCTACTTTGATTGACAGCTTATTTCTTTGACAGTTAAGTTCCCATTTGTACTCTCTTTTGTTTCTGGCAGCTATGCAGTGTTACAACAGTTTACACTGTATGTTGATAAAAACAAAATATAAGCTATGTGAACAATATTCACTCTATTCTTATTAGTTAGGCTGGTTGCCTATGAAAGAACGTAGAGAATGGCACGTTCTAAAGGCCGCGCACAAAGCTATATACGCTCATGATTGGCCCAGAAACCTTCAGCTTGAGCAAGTAAGACCACAGGGAGCCCAGAATCACAACAGCACACTGGAAGCCAAATTATAAGGATTTGTATGGAAATTTATCTTAAGATCGATAAAACGGTTAAAATGTACAAAAACAGCTATTAACGTATACATACATCTTAAGATAAATTTCCATACAAATCCTTATAATTTGGCTTCCAGTATGCTGTTGTGATTCTGGGCTCCCTATGGTAAGACATGCTAGAAATTTACGTTCATCAAGTACCATAAATCTAGTTATTCCCCACGTCTCAGACACTTTTCAGTGTAGCGCGGCAGCCCTTTTTAATTGTCTGCATGCATCCAATGTTAAATGTTGTGATAATTTTAAATCCTTCGGTAAGCAAACATTATGTATTTTAAGGGACGGAATGATTTCTTGTCTAGTTTTAGATAATGTATGTACATATTGTGAATTACATTTTACTGTTTATTACCTAGCTTTTTACAAATTCGTAATTTCGATTCATGTTAATTTCCTCATTTTACTTTTATATCAGGCGAAGAGCCATACCATGGATGTACTGAATCAGATATTAAACCGTTATTATTATTATTATTATTGTTATTATTATCATTATTCTTATATAAGAGTTGCTTAGCTGCCATAATAAGTTAAAAAACAACCAAGGAATTACCTTGCATGTAATGATTAATACTGCCTTCCTATGCTCATAGTTGGGCAACGGAAACTAGCCATGTTGTTGAAGATCAATCTACACCTTCTACATCCAGCAACTCTGCAAAGTGTGGGGACGTAAGCTTAGGAAGCAGTTCTGCCTCATTAAGAGAGTTATGTCCAGAAACAACTTCAGACCAGACCTTGCAGTCTTTAAACAGAAGCTTAGGAGGCAGGTCTGCAGCATTAAGAGAGTTATGTCCAGATGCAACTACAGAACAGATCTTGCAGTCTTTAAATGACAGTCATGGTGATGTCAATCTTTGCTACACAGAACTTGTTGGGACTTTCTGAGGAAACTACAGACTTGGAGAATGGTGAGCGTTATGATTAATCTTAAGCGATTCATGAATACCTGTATGTTTTGCCACTAAACCACTCTAATTTCTTTTGTCAGTTTCTTTCATAGTTCAAGCAATGACATTTTGTTTTTTTGAGGGCCATTGAGTTATCAGTTAAATAATACTGTCATCGCGGGAGGGGGGCGGGGTGCTCCCTGATATAAGCTATATAGGTCTATCTATATTTGCTGCGCTTTTATCCAGAAAATATCCATACTCCCAAACAGAAGGTTCATTGGTTTAAACCCAAATTCCACTCTAGGTTTTTTTTACTGAAAGTCATGTGAAAGCCAGTGTCACAGCCATGGCATGGCACAAACTGAAAACCGTGCTTGCACATTTTCAGGTTGGGAGGTGCAGGACAGTGATGAAGATTTGTTGACTTCAGTATTCCCATCAACATCAACATCAACACCAGAAAAGATGACAGCTCCACCTTGCACGTTAACTCCTGAGGGTGCTTTAGAGGCTTTTCAAGAAGCCAATAGACAAGATGACAAGCCAAGGGAGCGTTTTTTTGTTAACAGATTGGAAGGAAGCAAAGAACTCAAAAAAGATATTCTGAGTTTGTATAAAGACCCTAGAAAGAGCTGCCCCAAGAGTGCGGTTTGAAGGTGAAGAAGCAGTAGGTGCGGGGCCGGTACGGGAGTTTTTTCACTGTGCCCTGAAGATAATAGAAGAGCTGAGGGAATGCATGGTGATGGGAGACCTATTTTATTCTTTGAAGGAGAAAGTGATCATTTACTTCCCATTCACAACCAGATCCTTCAGCAAATGGGAGCATTTATTAGCATTGGCAAGATAATCAGCCATTCTATCTTACATGGAGGGCCAGGTGTCTATGGGCTTTCTCCTGTGGTAAAGCACTACTGGGCACATGGTGACCTTGGAAAAGATCCTCCTCCAATAGTAATTGAAGATCTTCCAGATATTAACCTGCGTGAAACTATACTGGAGGTTTGTAAAGTATAAAATTAATTGTTTTTTCCACAGACAAATATAAGGGACCATGTTGAGCTCAACCATTTACTAACATACAGGCTGACCTGTACACAATAAAATTAGTACACAATAGAGCTGTGGTACCAAATGTTTGAACTCTGAAAAAACAGAACAGCCATCTGGCTGAGAAAAAGGCCTACATAGTGCCAAGAAAAGTAGAAAAGGGATGTCACAATAAGAAAGCTACACATAAAGTATTTATTTAAGATTAGACACCCATATATCATAGTGGTATCCTCAATTTTGTCTTTCCTTAGCATGAATGACTGTTTATATTAAACATACGTCTTTGTGAAATGGATGAATTCCTATTTATGACAAGAACATAAAACAAGAACGTGGTTCGATAAACTAGTACTAGATCCTATTGGGCATATAAAACTTAGTGTCCAGTCCTTATCATATAATTATTGCATTCTTCTCTATAAATGGTTTGTTTACCATTTCTTTCAACAAAACTTGTTTTGGTTGGCAGTTTCAACAGTTGAATGCTGAGGAGAAAGTTTCCAATGAACTGAGAGAAAGCCTTTCTGCATACATGTTGGAGGCAGGGTTGGAACCAGAACTGCTCTGTGGTGGCTGAGACATCTTACTTCAAGGTCTTCTTTGGTACTTTGTTATTGATAAAAGGAAACTTGAGCTCGATGATATAGCTAAAGGTAACTACGACAAGATTTACATTAACATGGTACAGTTGTCTCATGTTTTCCGTCCCTGTATTAGCAATTCCACTTTGTCTCAACATGGATGGAAAAAAGACTGTCAGTTGACTTTGTCTTCTCAGTAGTTAACACAATAACTACATACATGCAAACTGGATAAATAGCCAAATTCCTTTCTTTATTCTCTTATTAATTAATTCTTAGGAAAAAAGTTGTTATTAAGCATGACGTACTTATGTCTTTGTAAAGTGACAGTTCTCAACTAATTTTGGCTTTTTTGTGCAAATTGGAACAGGAATGAATGACGTGTCACTGCAGACGTTCCTAATGCAGCAACCCAAATTATTGGAAGTTGTTTTTCCACCTCATGCTGCAAAGCAGATAAAGCTGTCGAAATTTCTGGCTAAAGTTTCATATGAGAATGAAAAAGAGGATAGTGACAAGCAAGCAAGGGCTATGTTTGAACAGTATCTGCATGAAATTGCCCAAAGGAAGGAAGGTATTTAAAATATCTGTGTTTGTTCAGACCACTTAGCCTTATAAATACTTCTCGGTATTTTTTAAGCACATTTTCACCTCTGTTTGCCAAGAGTTTAGATAAACCTGTTAAAACATTTTTTTATTATACAAGGAAACTATACGTAAAACAAGTTCATTAATTATTATTACAATGTTTTAATTTTTGGAGGTTGTTCTAAGTCATTATGATTTTGGCTAATTCTAGCACCTATCCATTGTTAATTATAAGCAGCATCAAAAAGGCAAATAACACAGAGTAGAAAGCCAGTATCAGGGTGCAAAGAAATCAGTTTTACAGCTTGCCACTCAGGCAAGCTGTAACTACTAAGCAAGTACTAGCCTGAAAGTCATATCAAATTAATAGCCCCCTCAAGATTAATGAGCAGGATTGATTACAGTTTTTTCTGTAATTTGAATTCCCCTAAAAAGTTTGCATGCCCATTGGGAAAGTCATGAACAGAATTCACTAGCCCGATAGCAAACTTCTCTAGCCCCAGGCAGCCTATCAGATACTACTTAATTTCTTTGCATGTTGATTTATCTGCCTAAAATAATCCATTTATAAACAAATTTAGAGGTTTGCTGGTTGTCTTAAGCCATGTTCTATTTTAGTTTAAATAAGTGGCCCATAATGTCCAAAATGCTAAATACAGTCAAATCTCTCCGACTCGAATTGACACCGTGAGGAACATCACTAAGTGTCCATATTAGGAAGAAGTCTGTCAAATAAAATGACTGAAAAACTACAGGGACTAACTTTAAGTATGCATTTTAGGGAGGTGTTAGTCTTAGCTGCCTGTTAAGAGAAAATTGACTGTAGATGATTGGCAGCAATATGTTCTTTCAATTCGTAGGTGAAACTAGGTTAAATGACTTGTGCTGTTTCTGGACTGGCTGGGATTTCCTTCCTCCTCGAAGAGAAGTCTTGATTGCTAATTTTAGTACAGGGACCGCGGAGGGGGAGGGGCTGGTAGGGCCGCGGCCCCACCACTTTTTTGCGCCCCCGCCCCCACTTTTTGAAAATCAAATACTATGATTTTATTCCTTTTTTCGATTTTCAATATGAAAAAATTATTTTCAATTGTCAGCCCTCCCACTTTCCACCTTGCTCCGCGGCCCCTGTAGTAGCAACAAAAGGAGCAAGTTACCAACATCAGAAACATGTTTTTTGTCTTTAGTGCTCCCTGTCGGCCATGAGACTTATAGAGACTTCCTGAATGCCATGGACACTGCTATCGAGTGTGGCTCCAGGGGATTTGCATATGCATGAACTTCTTCTTTAAGTCTAATCAAGCGTTTGCCAGTTTTAACTAATTGTCAGCTTTATGGCATTCGACTTAAAAGCTTGTTGTTGTGTTTTAAATCCTTATTTTGTAAGGCTTTTTGTTTAGGATCTTTGGCCCATTCAGGCCTTGTTGAATTTGATTGAGGGCCACATGTAACCATATTATTTTAAGGTGTGTTAATGTGTAATGAAAAAACTTCTTGTCTGTTATTGCTCTTTGAACAGATTAACAAAGTGTATGATCACATTGTCAAAGTCATGCAGTTACTAATAGGAATGAGACAGTGGTGTCTTGTACATGTTCATTGTTATGAATTTTTAATAAGATAATCAAAGTACAAGAATTTTGTTGATTCTCATATTGACATTTCCTAGTCTTGACAGAAGTTATGTTGGCACATTGCTGCTTTCATTTGTTCTTCAATTCTTACAATGTTAGATTTCTTTCATGTCATGGCCACTGCCTTCTGTAAAGAAAAAAGTCAAAGATACATGTACATGTAGTTGCTAATGAAATGTTCCATGATGCATTGTTAGACAACTAAAGGCACAAGATAAAAGTGGTTTGTTTAGGCTCAAAACACTAAAGAGTCATTCACTTGTATCTTAAAGCATGTTGTGTTAGTGTTTTCAGCAGAAGCTAGAAGAAAGGGCATCAGCTTTTTTCTTAAGCATTTATTGTTTTTTTACTGTGAGAGGTGTTGTTGGGGTACTTCCATTGCAAGAAGATAAAGATTACAGTTTTCATAATCACCAGTTGTGTTGTGAATTCAAACGATTTGAATTTAAAGTGTTCTGATAGTGCCTGGCAAAGTGTTATTCCAAGTCGTTGCTAAGAATTCTTCCTTCAACATATTCAAGTACTTCCAGATATATGTCCACACCATGGTATAATGACTCCCGGGTTGGATCATAGTTTCTGTTTAGCTCTTGCCAGTCACTATCATTAAGAGGACAGCCAGTTGGGGGAACTTCAACTGTGTTGTTTTCATTTGATAGGAGGGCACCATGCCATTCTTCCGAAGGTGTTGGTCCTTCATAGTCTATTCCATAAGTGGTCTCGTCACTCTGCAGAAAAGGAAGTTCCGTGGTTAAAAAAATATCATGTACACTTTCAACAGTTTTGTTGTCTACAGTATTAATTTAAACAACCAATTATTGTATTTTAAGACCTTATGTTTTAACCAAACACTATCGTCTTCCATAGCAGCCACTCAATTGTTATTTACTCTTACAACCTGATCAGTCTTGAAATGCTGGATCAAGCTTGTTCCTTCATCAAGGTATTATCTGTCAGATGGGTGCAATTCATGCAAAAAGGGGCATTGCAAATAAAGAACTCACACAAATAAATCACAAATACACACTAGGACAGGGACATAACAAAACATGTTGATCCTGGTATACTGTAAAGCAACTAAAAATGAACAAAATCATAGCAGGATTTGGTCACAAAATAACAATTTTGTGACCTACAAGTGTAGCAATATTTCGGAAACAAATTGCAAACCTGACTGCTGAATTCAATGGCTGTCCTTCTCTCACTGTTGGCGATAGACAACATTCCACGTATCCATAACTGTTCTGGGGAGTAGTTATGCTCAGAACTTAATGGGCCTCTGTTGTGTCCTTCCCAAAATAGCTTAAAGTTTTCATTAATCCTTGGAACAAATACAAAATGTAGTGCAAACAAATGAAGCTCGTTTGTTGGATCCAATACACCAGAACTTTCCATGTGGTAAAATAAATGATAAAACACATATGTGCAACCCACAAAGACATCCCTCCATAACCTCTCTATTCTTTGATTGTGGACACTCCGCCCAGCAATGTGGCTTCCTCTGTCAGGACCTCGCATGGGGTGCGAAAGCATAAACAAAGCCACTTCTACATTCTCTCTACCCTTATCTGACCTTACTCTTGAAGGTAGCCCATAGCTTTGTACAGCTGTGTGAAACAACCTGAAGACAGTATTGGCACGGTTGTTTGTTGACGCTTTTACGTAGCCAATCATTCTGGAATATCCATCAATACCGCCATGGATGACAACTCTCCACCTGCCGTACATAATAATAATGATGATGATGATGTCAATCACACTTCCAACGACACTTTCTTTGCTTTGCTTTGCCCGGAATCTCAATTCCGATGCAAAACCAAAGAAACTTTTGATCCTAAATAAGTACAGTACAGATGATCCTCAGTACTATGAATGATATTGTCAGCCTTAGAAATGGTGAAGGGTATGAATATGGACTTTGACAACCCCATTCTATGGAACATATTTTGCCACTCCCTTGGCCAGGCCTTTGTTACATAGAGGTTGAACTGTATCAAAATAAGTCCCCAAATGTAAGGCAAGTATTTAAATTTTGTTAATGGATATACCCTGGCTCCAGAAGCCTGTAATAAAATCCAAATGAACAACTCACTGCATCAGAAGCTCAAATGGAAGCGAGAGACATTTTTTCACCAAGATTTCTTTAATCCAAAATTGGGGAGATATCTGGTGCCCAGAGTACCATGTGGATAAACACCACGGCTGGGTTGTTCACAGCTGGGTTGAGATAACCCAGGGTTAGTGCGAAATATGAATTAAGACATGAAAGCGTAGAAAGCAAATTCAGTTGAATTCTTTTTGTCTACAATTTGGTGATTGGATACTCTAAAAAGAATAGAGAAAATTATCCGAGACAATGCTTTTGATAGAAAAAAAAGAGAGCCAGATTAAAATCCAACCCTGGGTTATGGCTAATCGGCCTTCAAACAACTGGGCCCAGGTTACAATGGACAGTGTAAGAAACTTTAAGCACGGAATGAAAAATGATTGAGGGCTTTCACTGAACCCTGATATTTCTAACGCAAGTTGCAATGTTTCTTATTTTTCGGGAGATTTCATATTCCAGGGGAAAAAGTACAGAGAAATAAATGAAAATTAAAAAATGACTTTTGGCACAATTAGCGCCATCTGACATAGTAGTTTGTAGTGTACTAAAAGTTTTTTGGCCACAAAATTATAGATTCAAAAGTGTTTAAGAAACCAGGTTTTACTAAAATTAAGTTATGTAACATCAGATTCCCATGCAAGCAAAGATATCCGTTCACTTCGTTCACGACCCCACAAGCGAAGCGTCGCTTTAAATACTTATCGTGTATAAATAAAGATTATTGATTGATTGATTGATTGGTTCGTTTCAAGTCAAATCGTTCTAATTAAAAAAATTAATGATCCACCTCTCCTTAAATAAATTTAAATTGGAATTTTTAGGACATAGAAATGGCCAAGGCCTATGGTAGGACTGCCTTTGGTTCTTACCTGATGAGCTTATGATTGCCATCTATGTGCCACAAAGCAAGAGGGCCATATACTCGATAACAGCGACAGTACAAGGTGTTCATCTCAAGCGATCGCAAGAGGCATCCTTGTGGGTCAACGCGACGCATTGAGGAACGTATCCGATTTTGCTGAACACGCAAACCACGGGACGTTAGAAAACCGGACATTCTCTTGTAGCCAGCGTTGGGAAAGCTACGTAGTATACTTTCGACTGCTAAGTCTAGTTCTGCGTCAGTTATTGTGCTATAGGAACGTCTTACGCTCAATCCAAATTCATGCATTCGCCGCTCCACCGTACGGACTCCCACTCCCAGAAGAGACGCTATTTCTCTGACAGAAAATCGACGATCAATTAAAAACTGAAGCTGTTCCACTGTGATCCGGTAGCTAGGTCTGCCACGATGACCACTAAAGACTGGCTGGGCGATTTGCGCCGCAAAAGACCCGCTATGGGCACACAGACACTCGCGAGCTTCTCGGAGGCCAGGAGAAAGTGGACTTCATCTAGGTCAACAGTCGTAGTCAGCGAATCTGCGTACCTATTGACAATATCTAGCAGCCAGTCAAGTCGATAAAATGCTCTTTCAGGGACCGAAGCCCACAGATCTCTCAACACTTCTCCAACAACATATCCGATACTTCTAAGAAACACACTCTCATTGGCGGCCATGTTGGAATTATACATACGGCGGTAAAGTGGTTTTCCCCGGGCTTCACTCGGTCAGCGCTGTCTTCACGGCCCCAGTCCCATTTACAACCGAAATTGACGGTTGTGTCAATTTCTGTCCTGTTGGTTCAATTTCGGTTCTGTCTTGTTAATTTCGGTTCTGACTTGTTAATTTCTGTTCTGACTTTGTAATTTCTGTTCTGTTAGTTCAATTTCGGTTCTGACTCGTTAATTTCGGTTCTGACTCGTTAATTTCGGTTCTGTTGGTTCAATTTCGGTTCCAACTTCGTAATTTCTGTTCTGTTTAATAGTTCAATTTCGGTTCCGACTTCTCAATTTCTGTTCTGTTGGTCTAATTTCGGTTCTGATGATGGAACCGGAAATTGCAGGTTCGTCATAATGGAATTTGAAACAGAATATTGGCGGAGATCACCCCTCATAGATGGGAGAAGAAGTGGAGGCGTTCAAGCAACGTCTAAGAGATCCCACTGGTAAACAAAGAGGAGATGTCACCAAATTCATTTCTCAAAATATATAACGCCAAGAATTTGTGCCACCAATAGGGAAATATGTTGATTTGTTTAAAGCGGAGCCACTGCACAACACAAACAATGCCTGGCAACACTGGTTCTGACTTGCACTGAGTATTGCTATGCAGAACTCTAGTGAAAGGAATCTCAAGTCAGCAACAGCAGTTGCGGATCTTCCGATTTACTCTCCATCTATTTCATTTTTGAATTCTGTGAAAGAAACCCTGAATTGTGGAAGACTGCACAAAAACTTTTTGCGGTGCTTCAGTGAAAAAAGGAAGAAGGGGATTCCATTTTCATACAGATATAATGGGCTAGAATCCAGACATTTCTGTTGAAAAACTCTTGAAAATAAAGTCACTTTCTAAAGAATCTGTTGCGAAGCTGCACAGCCTGCCATTTGTTGCATTGAAGCTAAGAGATGCAGTTTCAATTTACTCTAGAATTGAAGTCAGCAGGGAGGAACTGGTCTGTTTGAAAGTCTTATGCAAGCAATTTTTTTAATGCCAATTGTTTGTTGCTCGATGGTGCCACTCCAACTGTGTGGGCAGTTGGAGTTGCAATTCCCTATAACACAGGCAAGCTGCTGGAAAAGCTTGGCTATGGGTTGAGGCTGGGTCTAAATTCTACGCAGGGCAGGGAGTCAAAGCACATTAAATTAGAATTATATGTTCAAAACGCTTGCAATGACTGTGAGAAAGAGCCTAAGGTGGTGGACTGTCTTCCGACATGAGTTTGTCAGCATGATCGGGTTAAGAGTGAGAGATCCCTATAGTATTTTGCCCTGATGTGTGAAGAAGAATGCCAGTGATTCCTACCTTCCTAAGAGAAAAAAAAGAGAGCACCAACGCATTCTGTTGTTGTGGTCTATTAAAGCCAACTGTTAATAAAAGGGGCTGTCATATATGCACAAGTGGTGTGATGAAGGCAAACAAAGAAAGTGTCGAAACTGGAAAGATCACTCCTGAGCTCAAACAAATGTTTTAGAATAACTTATTGTTCTCAGCAATGGTACAAGTTTTAGGAAAACACCAGTATAAATTGTTCTAAAACCAACATTACCGCTCAACTCAAGCAATTCTTCTAGCATTCTGATTTATGCTATATCCTATTTTTTACTCTTATAGAATATATTAACCTTTAGTCTATCTCATTAGATACAAATTTTTCACTTTCCACGTACACAGTAGTAAAGGCTTTTAATTAGCTGATCAGAATGTAATCACTCAAAAATAGGGATGGACCATTACAAAAGTGAAGGGGTGGGTAGAGAATTGTGCCTTACAGGTAAATAACTTTGTTCTTTTGTTCTGTTATGTAACGTATGCATGAATATATTTTTTTTCACTTTTTTAATAGCTGGTATGCACTTTTCTCTTCTGTCTCTTGTGCCTGTATGTTTTTTCTTTCACATGTTTTCTCTTGTATCTTTTTTTTGCTGATCCCTTATCACTTTTGTAATGGTGCACGTCACTTGGCTCATGTCGTACTATTGCATGTTTGTAGGTCTTAAACATTTCTAATTAACCTTTGACCAACATCAATTTTCTCCAAATAATATCATTACACAATCAATCAAGAGAATAAGTTGTGCTTTGATCTTCATGAAATTCTTTGCACTTATTGTTGTTTATGAAAATGTTTGCAGACCAGTCTGGAGAATTTGAATGTGGATATTAGGGCTTAAAGAGTTAGACCCAATAAAGAAAACGAAAAAGTTGTGGGTCAACTCAGGTTTATTCAGTGCTGTGGGATGCTGCTTGGATTCCAGTATCCGTAATGAAATCTGACTTCCAATATTTTTGTTTCTTGTGAATTTAAGCTCCATGGGCTTGTCAGATGAAGCCAATACCTCACATCTCTCAAGGGTTATTATTGCAAGCTGACACACGCCTTTTTAAAATATCAGCAGGGTCGACCTCCAAGCCATCCAAATCCATTCTCCCGAATAGATACTTTGTTTTTCGTAGATCTGTTATCTCAAAGATGATCTCAGTATTCGTCAAAAGCTTTTGCGCTGCAATATGTCTTGAGAAATATTTTCCAACGACTCCAGCGGTATTCTCATTTTAAATTCCCCGCGCCATGGACCGGTAAGTCTACATGTAGGTCTTGTGTGCAGCCGACGACCTTTACCATGCATCTTAGAGTTCTACCAACCATTCTTCTCGATGGTATCAATCTTTACACGTTTGAAAATCTTCCTTCGCGATCATCGTATTTTTTGTTTAATACAAATACAGCATTATCAAGCTCTCTGACAAAATTACTGAGCCGGCCCATATAATTGCTTTTTAAGATATCACTATTACAACGCTGAATTCGCTGCTGAGCGGACCTCAGAAAATCGTAAACGAGCCGTCATCTTGAATTTTACCCTATAATCATTGCGCGCCTCTGATGCAACATCTGGCCCTACCGTGATTGGTCGTTCTAATTTTGATTGACGGAAGCGTAAAGATTCAATATCTAATATGTTTTGTTTCAGAGTCTGCTTGTCATCCCGCTACAAAGAGGATAAGTGTTCTGTTCAGGTAATGTACACTATATTTATCACTGTATAAGAGTTTTGATGAGAATTGATGATATCAGCTAAGACAAAATTGCATGAAGACCTGCCAGGTCGGTTATTTAAACAACTTCTAACTTACATAACGGTAAAAATTATGTGTATGACTACCTTAGAAACCTGTTTATAAGTGACTTAAGGGCTGTAACTACGACAAAAGCTAAGAAGTAGTTTAGTTGGCCGGACCAATAATCAGGGGGTCCTTTAACTATGGAAGAGGATACTTATTTTTTGCATACAAAAGGATTGATCTTCGTTTGACACCATTAAGCATAAAGAAAAAATGGCTGAGCCCGGCAATGCAGGACGTAAATCTATTGTAATGAGTTCAGTGAAACTTGCGTTCCAAACAAAATTTGTTTTAAATCAGGGTAGTTAAAGTTAAAAATGTTAATTTAGAGCACGATTAAAACACGATCGAAACTCTGTTTCTATAACAGATCCAAAATGTCTTTAACTATTTTAAAGCATACGTGATGGTTTCCGCTTCAGTGAGACAGGAAACCTCCCTAGCTATTCCGCAGGCAAAGTTTCTAAAGAAACAACCTAGTTATAACCTTTTTTGTTTGAATTTCTTTGAATACACAAGCTTAATTTAAGTTACCCCAACATTCGACATAATTTCTTTTCGCCAATGAGTAAGTGCTAATCGTGCCGAGTCACGAACAACTTCAGTAAGGGCAGGTTCCGAAGAATTGCCGGGCCGGAAAATTGCAACTTTCGAATTCCGACCTTTCAAAGATTTTGCCTAAAGTTGAGTTTACGTGGATGAGTTCCAAACTTTTAGCGTCAGTCTCTACAAAGCCAGGTACCGATTTCATTGTCGTGTTTCAAAACAATTCTTAAAAGGTAATTTTATCTGGAGTGAAGTTTCTTTAGAATGAACCTTTTACATTTAGAGATAAGAAGTTAATCAACGTCGTAAAAATGCGATTTTTCAAACAGCTGCTTCAATAACCGATCTAAGATGTCTTCGCCACAAGTCGGTCGCTTCAGATTAACAAAATCTTTGACTTTGCCGCCCCGGCGAAAGGAGGGGGCGTAAGGGTTTGCAGTGATGCGGTTTTGCTCGATTGTTGGTGCGGTTTGACGGGAATTCGTAATTGAAGTCGCGGTTATGCGGTTTTAAAAAACGAAGCGGCTTGCTTTATTTAGAAATTTTCGGGTAATTTCAATGCGGTTTTCGTATGTTATTCTGTGCGGTGTTTATACGTATTTCTGTACGGTTTTGTAGTTTTCGTCTCGCCCCCCCTTTACCCCCTCTGAGAGAGTAAAACTTCCTTAGCAACTTCAGAGACAATGTTTATGACCCTGAAACGGCTCAGTTAACACCGAAAGTTATTTTCAGTATATTTGGTGTAAGAATAAAAAATTCAATTCTAAGATTGTACAACTTTTTGTTGAATCCTTAATCGTGCCGAGTTGTTAACGATACAACCACTATAACCCTGGAATAAGTGATTGAAAATGGTCTTGGACGTAAATGCTGCTTTCTACTTTGAACTGGGACGATATTGTTGCTTTCCGCTTCGCTGAAAAAGCAAAACTTCCCTAGTAACAACGGCTTGGAAACTAAAACTTGATAGCATTTTGTTTTGAATGAGGGTGGTAAGGGCATATCTTTTAATTGAACATGCCTAGCGAGCGTAAAAATCGTATTCAGTCTGAGGATTAATGAGAGAGGCGAAATTTTATATATTTAGGCATAACAAAATT